TTTGGGCTAAACAGGATAGCTTGAGAGCAAGGGTATCGTATTAGCTAAGTTAGTTTGTTCTTTTGTCATTTCAGATGTGTTGATAGGGATTTGTTTTTTCCACTTAATGTTGGTGAAATAGAGTAACATTTGTTTGTTTTTCAACTGCATGCTCCTTGGGCTTTTTCATATTTTTCTCTCCTGAATGGTCTTTTCATCTTCAGTTTTGCATTTTTTTGAATTCTGTAGCCTTCACTTGAAATTCCCTTCCATTTGCTATGCAGAAAACTTCTCCTTCATTGTATCTTGTCTTTACATTCGCTTATTTTGCAAGGCCCTTCTCCCATTCTCTTTTTCACCTCCAGTGGCTCATCATCATCTTTATCGGCAATTTTCTTCTACATGTTCAAGGTCAGTTGATGAGTTGTCTGAGTCTGAGATTATCATCTCCTCATGGGCCGCGTTCTGTAGTCCTTACTTATGTGAAACTTCCAGTTCCAGTGCAGGTTTCATCTATGGAAGGACTTAGAAATGCTTTTTTTTTTAAAAAAAAAAAAAAAAAAAAAGATGTTAATATTGAAAAGAACTTAACTGATGAGATGAATCTGTGAGATAATATTATTAATAAAGGTTAACCAGGAAGAAATATGCTTGTTAAATGTTGCTCTATATGTACAGTCTGTACGATTTTCAAAACGTTCTAAAAAAGGTCATTTTTAATTTCCTCGGCAGAGGATATGGTACCTCCTCTTTCACTAAGAGTTACCTTTCTTTTCATCAGCTGTCCTATTTTGAATATGCAAAGCAGGGATGAGAGAGTCAGCCTTCCCATTAAGACATAGAAGTTAGAAACGCGGAAAGTTGTACGTTTATATAACTTTTTAATGGGAAGAAAATTTACTCTCTTCTGTTTTACATTATTGCCAAGATGGTGTTTGTTACTTACGTGATCACGCGTGTTCCTTTTTAGCGCGTGAATTTTAGCTGTGCTTTATTTATGTCTCAATACGATAGAGTTTTTAAAGATCAAATAGAAGGCTATAGCACCTACTGTGAAGTGCTGTGGATGTAAGATTATGTGCTAAAGAAGCTTTACATGTACTAGAGCTGTAGTAATGAGGAAAGACAAGAATACCGAAATAATATCAAGCAGTTACTGAACACCAAACTGTATACTGCTTGATAGTTAATGGTACTGTTTTCAGAATACATTTTTTACTGGTCCACCATTTGTGCGTTACGATGAGTTAACAAATCTGGCCTCTACAGAGGATTTTTTGTTCTGTTTAAGGCCTCAGTGTCTTTTGTACTGTGACCAAATCTTAAGGGTATATGAGTTTCCTCTAATCACAAAATTGAACAAAAGGTAAGAGTATACAGAATCTAAATGTTTTTCAAAATATCAGTCCATTCTGCAGAAGTAGTATTTAGATAGAAGAAATCTTGAAAAGTATTACAAGTAAAATTTTTATTCCATCCTGAATAGGAACACAGTGGCATGGCATATAGCTCCTTTGTGTCTGCGAAGACTGTAAAATGTCGTTGAGAAAACCTCACACTTTGTAGATTTGGACCCTTACCTTAGAGCAAAACCACAAACATGACATTTATTTTAATCTTTCTTGATGGCAAGACGAAGAAAAATGAAATCATTCTGTGCTCTTTTTCCAGATCTTAACAGACAACTCTTCCACTGAACAGGCCCTAAATAAAGTGTTTGATCTGTGTGTTGTATGTGGAGACAAGGCATCAGGTATTTATTTATTTATTTATTTATTTATTTTAGTGGTGCAACTGTATAAAAGTAGTTTAAGATTCTTCTTGATCTATATAACAGTTTGCATGCATATATGTGATAAAGGAATCTAGAAAACCCATTAGAATCTCTTGAAACTTCTAGCAGATGAGATTGAGGTGTCTAAAAAGAAGTTTGTAAGGAGTGAGGAAAGATTCTAAAATATATTTTTCCTTAAATTAATTCATATTTGAAATTTATTTCTGTAATATGCCGTACTTAGCTCAAAGCCAAGCCTTGATGCCGCCACAGTATTTATTTTGAATGTTTACTGATGATCTTTTTTTTTTTACATTTTTTTTCAGGATTGTAAGATTAAAACTATTGGAATTGTCAAGTATGCCTTAATCAAAACTAATGCTTTTCAGTAATACTTGTGTATTTTGCAGTATAGCAGAATCAGAATAATTCACTTATGAAAAATAATGTTTAAACTTGATTTTTTCTCTGTGGTATATCTTAGAAACTTTTATCTAATAGTATACTGTACTAGAAGATTCACAGAACTGATTTTTTTAAAAATAGTTTAGCTGCTTTGGTTTACTTGTCTCATTGAAAAGTTTTGCTAAAAGAGTTAAGGGTATACCATTATCCCATTAGGAAAATGAAAGGCAAAAGTAGAGCTTTGAAGTGATCATCTACTGCTGTCAAATGCTATGTATGCAGTTTCCGTGTTTCCATTATATTCAGTGCATACATTTCTGCAGCTAAATTTCTAATGAGAAATAATAGGACTTGACTGTAGGCACATTCTGATTAAAAAAAAATTGCTAAGGATGTATAAATTAAGAGTTTCTCCTGTGTTCTTAAGTACCTGTTTTCTGAGCTTTTTTAACATTGCTGTCAACAAATTCAGCAAGAAATTAATAAGCAGCTTGGTTATTTGCCTATCTGTAAAATTTGTCCTCTACAAGTGCTTTAAACTAGAAACATGGCTTGCTTGCCCCTTTATTTGGTTTTATAGCCAGAGGGTATATTTTAAAATTTTTGACCTATATGAAAATAAGATTGTTCCTTTTCTGGATAAAATAATAAATACTTTGTTTTGAATACATATAAACTCTAGAAAGGAAAAAAAAAGAGATTATTAGCAGTGTAAAACTAATATCTTGATTTATATTCTTCTCCAACTAGGGCGTCACTACGGAGCAGTAACTTGTGAGGGATGCAAAGGATTCTTTAAAAGGAGCATACGAAAGAATTTAGTTTATTCATGCCGAGGAACAAAAGACTGTGTCATTAACAAACACCACCGGAATCGATGTCAGTACTGTAGGCTGCAGAGATGCATCGCGTTTGGAATGAAACAAGATTGTAAGTCTGAATAAGAAGTATAGATCTGGTGCAAGGAAATCATTTTAGGTAGCAGCTATGTGAAAATATGTGCTACAAAGGATATGCTCTATATTAAAATAATTTGTTGTATTGGTTATATACTTTTAAATCATTAGATCTTTTTTCTTTAAAGAATTGTGCAAGTTTGATGTGATCAAAATCTCGGAAGGCTTTCAGTCATACGTACTGTCTGCCAAACTTAGTAAGCGCATGGCATGGGGTAAAAGAGATAAATAGGAACAGTGGTTCCTAGGCCACAAATGTCAAGCATGTTTCCATGTTCTGTTTTTGTGTATGCAGTTCAAATTTTTTGTGTCTAAATCAAGCTACTGAAAATTTTGAATCTTTCTATCTACTTGTCACTCTTTTCACAATTTAGGTTGCTGACAATTCATGAGGCAGTTAGTTACAAGGCAGAAATCCGTAGCGGTCTAGAGTTGAATTCTTACAGATTCCTAGATCTCTGGGCCATGGGGGAAGTGAGGATTGTTCTGGGGTAAGAAATCTCATACCTCAGAGGAGCGGGGAGAGGATAGAAGTCTTGGCACCGTCTCATACTGTAGCTTCAGTGCGGTGATTTTTTCCCTTGAGAGAAGTCTTTCGCAGCAATCTATCTCATAAAGTGCATAAAGTTATATGGGTTCAAACCAGACCCACAGTGCGTGGGAAAAGGTACTGTGAGGCCGTTATAAATGAACTGTGCGGGTTAGTGAAAATGATAGAGAGAGGGGAAGCAGTAAGCTTTCTGCTAAGGATCCAAATTTAAACTTAGGTATAGAGGGATTTCTCACTTAATTGTAACTTGAAAAATTATTAAGTTTGTATGTTTGGCCTCAGACTTTGACTTACTACATCATTTCATAAAGAACAAATCTAGTGTGGGGGGCTTTTTGCCCAAATTGTTAGCTTATTGTGTAGTTTGCTTGTTTTTTTTAAGTTTCAACCCCTTTGTAAATTCCCCGAATCATTATTAGAATTGCAGAATAAGTAAAGAGAAAAAACAAGTATTACTTCTTAGATTGTAATCTGTGATGTGACTTAATAGTTGCATACTGTTTTGTTAGCTGTTCAATGTGAGAGGAAACCTATTGAAGTGTCAAGAGAAAAATCTTCGAACTGTGCAGCTTCTACAGAAAAGATCTACATTCGGAAAGATCTTCGCAGCCCATTAGCTGCAACTCCAACTTTTGTAACAGACAATGAAACAGCAAGGTATGTAAATTATACTCAGAAGTAGGTATCTCTCTTTCCTGAAATCCCCAGAAAATTAAACTCTATGCTGTTTGTGTCAGATCAACAGGTCTGCTGGAATCAGGAATGTTTGTTAATATTCATCAGTCTGGAATAAAAAGTGAGCCTACTGTGCTGATGACTCCAGATAAGGTATAGGATGACGTGACTAATATATTAAATATTGTTGACTGCTCTAGTTGTGGATATATGGAGGGAAGGTTGTTCTGTTTTGTTGTATTTCTGTTTTGATAAAATTCATTTTGAAACACTGACATTCCTTTACAAGATTACCTAGTATTGTAGATGCCTTCTCTTCAGAAGAGCTTTAAAGACTACGTTGTTTTTGTTTGTATTTGGCAATCCTGACGCTTGGACCTTTCTTTTTCTTTTCTTTTTTTTTTAAATCAATACCGTGAGGTTGCAAAGCCCCGCAGGTAAAGTAATGGATGTGTTTTTTAGAATTAAAATCTTGAGTGTAGTACTGAAGTTTAATAGAATATGATTTATTCATGATTCATCAAAAAGAGGTTTAAAATACAGGTGTTGAGTGGAAAAATGAATGGAAAAAAATGTCTTTCACCTTTCAATCTCACTGCAGAGACTGCAGAATAAATCAGACGGTCTGTGGGGAAATATAGCTAGGTTTGTATAGAGACAGCTTCTCAGTCAAGGAAGAGGGAATAGTTTCTGTGGAAATATATAGGCATGAATAAAATTTCAGGTTTAAGAAGCTTTTTTCCTAAGGATTTAAAAACTTGATCCTGAGTTGCCTGTGATACTTTTTTTGTTTGGAAAAGCCGGGACATAAAAGCACAGTTCCTTTTCTTTTTTCCTTTAAAAATCACTGACCGGCTCTTGCGTTTTAGACTCTGAGTAGAGGAAACTTCTTTTTCACTGTGTCGATGGGCAAGGGCTATCCAAATTCCAACTTGCACTTGAAATATTTCATTCAGACTCTCACTCAAAAAACAGTCTTCTGGGGCTGTTCAGGATCATCTGTCCTTAGCCGTTTTGCTCTAACAACGGTAATATATAACAAAAATCATGTGATCCAGGATTCCTTATCCTTTGTAGATGTGGCATTATCACAGTGCATTTCATAAATGTCATTAGCTTTTTTCCCCGAATCACTTATTTTTTGCAGAGCTCATATGAGCTGTCTCAGCAACATTTTTATTTATGATGTATTTCTGAGCTGATTTTCCTTTTTTTCCATTTTGCTATGCTTAGTAGTCCACCAAAGCCGTGTGATAACTTCCCTACATGTGCAAGCACCTACATGTGTAAGCACACACGTGTGCGTGCACGCACACACACACACTTTTGTATTTTGACAGTTGATATTAACTTATCTTGTACTGTCATGCATTTTGCCCTGCTTGTTCTGTCTGCAAAGGGCCCCATCAAAAGTTGTTTCTTCCATTTAATTGTTCCCATTCTGTCTGTGGAGTATGACTAAGGAAGCTAAATGACACGTAGCGTGCTGATGTTAGCAGCAGCATGTACTGGTGCACCTTCCTTATTAAAGTAATGGGGGGGGGGTGAGGGGAACATGACTTACTGCCTATCTGAATTACTGGGTCGTTACTTAATCACTGTGTTCCCTTGCAATTAAATAAAGGCATAAAAAACAAAAAGGCTGCAGCGGAATTCTTTTCTTGCTTGCCCAGAGGTGTCTTTTTATCTGTTCCCCCTTTTCAAAGATTCTCATACTCCTTTACTATGTCTTGTTTTACATGCTGGAGAATGGACAGAATGTTTTAGAAAGAAGCAGCAAATTATATGTAGTCTAGGGTGGTGTTATAGTCCGGTTGAGTATTTGACTAATGAGTGGAGATGCTAAAATGTCCTTCTCCAGTTGCTTATCTTCTGTAGCGTTCTTTCTGAAAGATACAGCTATCTATTACTTGTGAAAGTAAATGTCTAAATCTTTCCTATTTAGAAAAAGTGCGATGTCTAATTGCTGCATTATGATTTACCCATTTACTGGAACCAGCAATTTTCTTAGAAGTCTATTCACAAGCTCAATTTTTCGCTAGTTGGTGTGGAAGTTAGATTCTTCTAATGCAAGTTAACTGTTACCAGTATGAAAGAATTGAACACTGTACTTTTCTCTCAGGTTGAAGCATGTCAGGGAGATTTAAGCACACTGGCAAATGTGGTGACATCGTTAGCAAATCTAAGTAAATCCAAAGACATGTCTCAAAGCAGTACTGAGCTATCTATGATTGAGAGTTTAAGTAACGGAGATACATCATTATCTGAACTCCAGCAAGAAGAGCAAGCTAGTAGTGACGTTACGAGGTAAGACATGTTACCCTTGAAAATGTTACTCTCTTTGAGAATTTCGCTGTCAGTTCAGATCATTAATTAAATCATCAGATCATTTATCTGCATTAAAAACAGTAGCTCAACAACAGCAGACTGAGCTTGTGTTGAAGATTAATCTTGAAAGTTCTTCCCAGTAAAATCATAAAGAAGTTCAGTTTGAGAAATAAATAGTTCATTAGTTGTTCATTGGAATGAATTTTAATGTAAAACTTACCTTTTGATTGTCCTTAATAATGGGTGTTAGATGTTGTACGATACTGTTAGTACTTTGTATCATCCTGGAAAAATGTTTCTTAGAGATGTTATCTGTGTAAGTAGTTTAATGCCCGTAACAGTTAGTCCCCTTAAAAGCTTGAAAAGTATTTTCTTTTTACACAGAAAAACTCAAATAATGTTTACGATCAATACAAATGCATTCTCTTGTTTCTTAGGTTGATTTTAACTGAGCCATTTTGGTGGGCATATATGTAAGATACAGTGTATAGTACTTACTCAGTTATCCTTTCACTTGCAACCATGTTCTTCCTTGGTTGTCATCTCGTGCAGGATTCTGACAGCTGTCCCGCCAATATTCATTTGCTGCACATCATCCATGTTATGCATTCTGGATTGAAAACATGCATATGGAGTAAAGCCATCAAGGGAAAAAGACTGGTATATAGTGGAGTAGCTTGTACTGATTCAAGTACATGGTTTCCCCCTGTAGACTCTAGTACTGTATGTGATTGCAAGCAGAATGCATTTGTTCTGCTTCTTTCTTTATGTTTATATGATGCTTAGAAAGTCAATGCAAGTTGCTGATTGGACCTTTGCTATGTCCTCCTAGGTAAAGAACATGCTATGTAAAGAGTATCGTAGTGTACGCTGATAAACTTCAACGCTATGGGTATTCAGAAACGATGCTGAAATCAGTTTGCATAGTAACCTTTCATATCTTTATCTAGAGGCCCTTTCAGGCACTTACTTTTGCCAACCTCAGTGTTTCTGTTCAGTTTTAAAAATTTGTCTATGAAAAGGCATCAAGTTCTCGCAGCCAGAGAGCTTGAAAGAGCTCTAACGCAGTCTAATACCTACTCTTTTCTAATAGGTTACCTAACAGAGTTCCCATAGGGAGTTTCAAATCAAATACTCCTGTGGAAGGGAAATTGTTACCCAAACAGAAACCAAAATTTTGGTCTAAATCATTGATTTCCTTGCCAGGGATTACACCAACTTCATCTAACATACACAGGTGTTTACTGAAGAAAATGAGTTTGGGGGGAATTCAGGAAGTAGATTCTATCCTTGTTTTTCATGTATTTTATTATATTCCATTTCTTGCAGCTACAATAGCAAAGCTTTCATTCGCTGACAAAAATTTAGTCTATAGCTTTGTTGCTAGCATACAGCTGCTTTTATATTGCAATGTTATATGCCTTTGTCCGCTAATGGCTTCATTATCTATGCTCATTTTTTACAGCTTATCAGTAGTCCTACATATCCATTAGTGAGTGAGCTGGATTGAAAGGGAACCGAACTTGTTTCTAACAAAGAATATCAATACTATGCATTTTAATGTTACTTATATTTTTTTCTCACTTTGTAGGCTAGGTTTTCATAATTTTCAGGCAAGCTTTGTTCTAAACAGTCTTTTCCTTTAGTGTTTTTGGCTTACAGTGATTGATCCTGTGAGTTAACTTAGGTGTTGGGGCTTCATGTACAAATAGGAGCCCCAGTGTTGAGCCATTAGGAAGGGGAGACTAATAAAAACAATGGGCTTACTGCTGCAAAATTAGGGAATAGAGGGGAAGAGGTTTCTTTGAGAGCATTCAAAGAATAAGTTGGAAACAAAGTACCGTGGACACACAAGCTTAACAGCTGTACCTGCCCAGAGTATTTAAAAAATACTTTAGCCTGAACTAGAACAAATAAAGGATTGGCAGCGACATCTGCAATGACTGCTTTGGCTTATTCTACCAATAGTCTCTCTGACAGCAGCAGGCTCGGGGAGGGAGGGTTTAGGGGAAAGAGGGACCTTTTTCCTATCTTACATTTCTGTCCCTGCTACAAAAGAAATCTAAAATCATCCTGCTAATTGCAAAGAGCCCTGAAGATGATCTGTTTTTCCTAAGCAGCTGCCACTGAGCGGCAACTTTTGCCTGCTCTACATAATGCTGCCAAGTGTGAGCTGCAGGACCTGAAACTGAGATTTCCTAGCAGGAGGCAGACAGTTTAACTTCTAGTGCTTGCACATGAGTGCATTCCCTTTATGCCTACTTCCCATATACCTGAGACACAAAATTTCCCGGCTGTACCATTTAGTCCACTTGTGCATGCCACAGTCATCCTCACATGCTAAAATGAAGGTGTACAGGTAAGTGTAGGACCAAAAACTGTTCCAGTTCATTTGCCATCTCAAGCCTAAGGCAGTGTCAGCAGCTAGTTTATAGTTTATAGTTAGTTTTTAGCTTGTTTCTTTTGGTTGTAAACAGTTATGTTAAAGATAGTCAGCATTTAGGTTTTTAGTATATGAGTAAATATAGGTAGCAAGGGAATGTGGAGGAAGAGGAGGTGGGCAGAGTTCTGCCCCTTACTTCAGCGCTAAAATCAGATAATAGAATTTTTCAAAGTAATTTTAGATTCTGTGGCAATAAACATATCTACGCGAATTGAGAATCAGCTCTACATACAGGCTGATAATCACCTTTCATTAAGTTTTCCGTGCATCAGTTTTTCATATGATGCTTTGTAAACAAGTGATACTACTCTCAAATATCATCCGTCTGTAGGCACTGATTGACTCTGTATATCTGTGATGAGCGTAGATACATTGGTTTTGGTTCTCAGGTGTGTTTGTGCATAGAAGAACAATGAAATGGGATATACAGGTGTTCCCTTTTATGTATTGTTATCAGGCAGCAAAATAATGAGTAATATACATCCGTGCTTATCCTGGGGTCTTGGCAGTAACGTTTGTGCATGTGACTTGGTCTTTGCAGGAGTCAGTGCCCCACATCCGAGGATATTAAGGGTGATATTGAAAGTAGGAGAGTACTTTCTCCCATATTTTTTGAAGCAGTCTTTTCAAATTAAGTTGAATAACATAACCACAGTTCACTATATGAAAAAGCCAGAAAAAGTTTATTCTTTCTGTTTGTGGTTGACAGTGGCAAAAATCTGTAAAATTCACACATGCATTAAGTTGCTTTAACAACAGTCTGATGATCATGTGCTCAAAACACTTATGTGCCAACACTCTCAGTAAACATCACTAAAGACATCCTGAAAGGCAAACTGTGATTCACCAGCTCAGTCAATATGTCAAAACTGTGAATTTGTTGGCAACTAGTGTGAACAGGAATTTCCTCTGCTGCTGATTTTGTTTCGGAGGCATTGTAATTTGGAGTTTTTCAGGATTCTGTTAGGTAGGATGTAGGAAAAGTCTGTTATTGTATCTTAATTTTCATTTCTGGTTGTTTGAAACAGACATCTAAATACAGCTTGCAGACATATAGGTTCCTTCTGAATCGAAATGTTCTCTAAGATTAAATTTGTTCTTCCCCTTACCCTTTTTTTTTTTTTTTAATAGGGCATTTGATACTCTTGCAAAAGCATTAAATCCAGGAGAGAGTGCAGCATGCCAAAACTCTGAAAGTATTGAAGCCAGCGTACAGCTGATTGGCGGAGAAACAAGCATGAATATCGTTGAAATAGAGGGGCCGCTACTCAGTGATGCACACGTGGCATTCAGGGTACTTAATACTTTTGAACTATTATATACTATTTATGACCATTTTAACTTAGTGATACAAAGTAATTAATTATTTGACTGGGTCTTTTTTGAATTTCGTAGAAGAGTTACCATTTGTTCAAGGGATTGGCATTCATTTCTGATGAATGCATTGCTTTTGTTCAATGATTAACTATTTGCATGAGAAAATTAACAGCCGTCTTCAGAACTTTAGCTGCACTATTTATTTTAGAGTCTTGTAGCTTAAAAACAGTAGGTAATCAGTGCAAAGAGATTTAAGCGGACAAGTGTCTTGCAAAGCAGAGTCACCATCCATGTTCTTACTCATTAATAGACAGATGTAATGTTTTCGGTAAACTGGCTACTGAGGCTCCTAAATGCATTTGTGACAGTTTCTCCTTTGTGTGTATATCCTATTTTAATATGGCTTTACTTGACTTTCGCCATGAGGGAAAATCTGGTTTCTTTATTAGAGGGCCAAATATTTTCTGACTTTATTTCTCATTTCATAAGTCTGTAGAAATTCTTTCATCTTTTTTTTTCATCTTCTTGTTGCTTGTGGACAAATCAAAAAGCTTGCTTATCCAAAGGTTTCTTCAGCACCAGCCACTACCTTAAGCTTTGCGCCTCTCATGAGCGCCTGTTTTGATCACTCAAATAAATGTATTTCTAATGTCACTTTTAGCAATTTGAGGTGAAATCCTGCTTTCTTCACATGGATGAAGAAAGCATGTGCAGGAAGAGCCACTAATTTTACTCATATAAGTTCAGAAAGGTCCTTTCTGATGTGTCTTGATTGCTGTTTTAGGACTTGGGCAGCTCTGTGTATAGGTATTTTATCCACATACCAGAACACTCTTGCTGTATTTAATTGTAAAATAATAATTAAAGCTACAAACCAAAGGTCTTTTGTGAAGTAAGATCCCCTCTCTGCTCCCAACTAGTAATTGTGGCAATTCCCCTAATTTTTCAGGCCGTTTATTCTACTCCTCTCAGGCAAGATTTGGAAATATATAGTGCCTTTATGTCTGTATTTTTTAATATATTTATCTATTTATAAATGTAAGAAACTTCATAAATGATCCTAATTTTACAGTAATTCTGCTAAAACTTTTATTCTTTTGCGAATGTCTCAAAATTTGAGTTTTATTGGGGATTTTCCATCTCCAGGTGTCCCATACCTGAATCCTTATCTAAGACAAAGATTCAAATTTATGGCCTTTTCTTCGTTGCTTTGTAATCACATTAAGATATAACAGTGTGGCTAGTATGGAACAAAGGCAGCCATTCGATTTTGTTTGAAGATTATCCCATGTTTATTCTTAAAATAATTTTACCTTTTTTCTCTCTAAAAGAAACTATCAATCCTGGTTTTTCTTATTACATTTTTTACATGAAGAAAGTAAAATAACTGATCTATGCTTTTTCTTTTCTTTCTTTTTTTTTTTTAAAACCAGCTTACCATGCCTTCTCCTATGCCTGAATATCTGAACGTTCACTATATCTGCGAGTCTGCCTCCAGATTGCTTTTCTTGTCCATGCACTGGGCACGTTCCATTCCATCTTTCCAAGCTTTAGGGTAAGTGTTCAGTTTTTGTGATCTCTCGTATTGTGAATACCACTTTCTAATCGGCTATTTTTACTATCTTTTTCAGGGTCATTTTAAAATATAAAAACATTTATTAAAAATGTCTTAATAGATCTTCATCATGAAGGTAAATTTGCTGATTCAAAGTTACTCCCAACTGCAGTCCAAATTTAGTTACTTTGACTGGATTTTGAAGAAAAAAGGACTAGATTCATAAAGATCAAATGTCTGCACAGTGCCACTTTAATAATTTTTCAGTAAATCAGACTTCCTATCATTTATGAATAGCTACATCCTGAACTAAGATGCTTATCAGGCAAGTCACCAAAAAAAACTGATCTCTGAAGCCCCAAATATTGCTGCTGTTGTAGGTGAATTAATAATAATAATTTTGTCTTGACTACACTCTATGGGAGAAATGTTAGCTAGGTTCAGCAAGCCTTCAGAATTGCTTAATTGCCAGGGAATTTCTAAAGACAAATTGTCGCCGTAAGCAGAAAGTAATTTTTATCATTCTCTCTGCAGTTAGCTTAACATCCAGTTTTTCCAGCGGAATTTAGTGTGTCACCTAAAGTTCTACTATGTAGTAGTGCATTGCTGACTGTCATGAGAAAACATTTCCAAACACGATGGGGAAAAGTAATTTATGTTACTTTCAGAAGTCATTTTATGAAGATACATCAAACAAGTAAAGATAGTATATCAGCCGTGACACAAATGGAGTACAAATCCAGTTAGTCTTCACTAGAAATCTCTTCCTGTCCTTCTCTGTTCTCATCTACAGTGTTTTTCTTGCATTCAATCTCAAAATAGTTTACGACTCTGTGGTAGCAAAGAGATTTCCTTTTTAAAGTGAGGGTTCGTCCCCTTTTCCAGAAAGCTTGTCGAAGGCAGGGTGACCCATGATTACCATTTGTATTTACTTAGATGTTTAAGCCAAACGATCGTATGTTGCTTAAGGAAAAATACGGTATGGTGTGTCATTGAAGCCTGTGTTTTGGGGAAAGAAACAATAAAATTCTATAAAATAAAAAGACAGAGGAAAAGGCAGGTAAAAGCATAAACATGGTGTTCGATTTTTAATATAAGGTGTTGCCCTGTAGAATTTTGAAGTAGTTAGCAAATGAGCACAGTGAATTGCATCATTGTTCATTTTAAAAAGTCTTTTGTAACACAGAGACACTGCAAAACAGTGTAAAAAAAAAAAAAGATATTTTTGAAAAGTTGCACAGAAAAACTTTCTCTCTGAAAAGACTTATCAGGTGAAATGGAAATACTTATACAAAATGTGCATGATTTTTTGAGTAAGTTACTTCCCAATGTATTTAGGTGTTTGAATAAGAAAATGGAGGAGTAGGCTGTATTAATAGTGTTAATATTCACCTGTGCTAGCATTTCCAGCCCCAATCAAGATCATGGGCAACGGTATATTTAAACACCATTTAACATGAACATACAATTTGCGTTTTGAAAAGCTTAAAATCTTAACAGTGTTTTCAAGTGGAAGTTTTTTTAAAATTAACGCAACTTTTTTAACATGAGCACATTATGTACTATAATTTTAACTTCTAGCAGGATGACTCATTTCATTTTTCAAATGAAAAGAAATTCTTAGTGCTAGTAATTGAGAGGAGTTGATGAGCCAGAGCAAAACCACAATAACAGTTTTGTAAGGAAGACAGATAATTTTATCCAAGTGGTTCCTTCCTCAGGCAATGATTCCTTAGTCTCAGCAAGATAGCTGTCTTTGTCATGCTGATTTAGTTAATGATATCAGGTTATTGCTTAGTTCATCTTCTGCACAAGAATCTGTGTAGGGCAAGAGGGAGTCCTACTGAAACAAACAGTTGATGAATCAAACTGGTTACGTGTAGTTCTTTGAGGCTGCTTAAGTTTGATCAGCTGGTTCTGGTCTAAGGCTGATCAGCCCAAAAAGCTGTTCTAGATGATACTGTTATCTGCATGAGCACACATCAGCTGAGTAGCCAGTACACCATATTTTCACTGGACTCAGCATAGTCCATTTGACAGGAGATGAAATATGTGTAGGAGCTGAGTGTGAAGTATCACAGCATAACCAAGGATTGGATCACACTGAAAATACTGACCTAGATAAGCTCTCTGTCTCCATCATAGGAGAACTCTATGCTAATCGGTCATTTGGCATATAAATAGTATTACAATAAATTATCAGAAATTTTCTTAAGATTGCACTAACATTCTGGCAAAAATCCATTCTGTCATATTTTTGTAATTGAATACTAGCTTTAATATGCTTTTCTTCTTTGAGAGATCTTTGTTTCTTTTAACTTTCCATTTCTATATTTACTGGCTAAAACTGTAGAACATGGTACCTGAACTGGACTCCTCACTGATAGGTTTTTCTTTTTCAGGTACTGAGCTCCTGTCGAGCTCCATGAGTTAGAGATGCTTGGCATTAATGAACTTTTAGTTACTAATATAGAAGTGCCTGAATATGGATTGATGTACCTAATTCTAGGTTTCAACACGTGGAAAAAAATGCACTGCATATGAAACTTAATTTAAGAACTAATTCGTATGACAGACCAATCCTCATGACTCCTATTTGAACCTTGAAGTCCATATTTCAAACCTGATAGCAAACATGGAAGGGCTACAAGCTTAGGAACTTGATCTCATGTGTTCCATTTCACATGTGCATTCTTATTTTTAAGTTAAAAATTCCACCAATCTGCCATATTTCAAGTAAAAAACAGACCTTTGTGTTGTTATTCTACATCCACAATGCAGGAAGAATGTAAACTTTTTTCATTCTTCCTTGTAAACGCTATCTAAAAATTAGTGGAAATCCTGTTAAAACTAGTATGATGGAATATGCCTTGATAGTTGGCGTTTGGCTTTTTGATAGAGATCTATTGCCTTTTAGATCATTAAAACAAAAACGATTTCTATATAAGTGTCACTTTAAAACAAGTATTTTAATTCTAGCCTGAAAATAAAAATACTTTTGATGTGGGGCTTCATTTTGGTACTGGTTGCAATGGCTGAATTAGATGAATGTTTCATGAAGTGTTCTTTAAATTAGAAAAACTATATAAATACAAATAGCTGGTCCTATTAAGTGAAATTATTGTATTTTTTAATAGACAGGATAACAGCATATCATTAGTAAAAGCCTGCTGGAATGAACTTTTTACACTTGGTCTTGCACAATGTTCACAAGTGATGAACGTGGCAACTATATTAACTGCATTTGTTAATCACCTTCATGGCAGTTTACAGCAAGGTAAGGTGCATCTTGTCTGTATTCCCAGATCTGCAAAGTAACTTCATAGTTTTTCAGTTTTGAATTGGGTAGAAGTTGATTAAATTTACATTAATAATTGAAAGATAAGTACTCTTTGTAGAGCATAGTGAGTAGTGTTGAGACAAAATAATAATAGAAAATATAATCCACGAGATGGAAATTCTTAGCAATTTTCTGAAAGTCAGCTATACTAATATTTCCTTTCCCTCAAATAAAAAATATATTTATCAGTCTCTTTAACATCAGTTGGTATTTACTACTTTTTAAAATCATGTGTCTACATAGTAGCTCATAGAATTCTGCTGTTAGTGTACATCAGCTCAAAATAGGAATACTTCAACACAGCATCATTTTGAAGAACATAAACGTACTGTGAACACGCTTCCTGTGTACCAAGCGTGCAAAGTAGAGACTGACCTAACTTCTCCTTGCTGTTCATAGCTGTGAGACAAAGCAACCTAATGCTGCCTTCTACATGTACTTTCTTTACATACTGCGCTTCTTCACTTCTGTATACTAGTTCTAGACTACAGTTGGCTAAGTTCAAGTTTAGCTGATCATTGCTATCTGTATTTCGTAGATATTTCATCTTTCTTTCTTTGCATGTGGTGGTCTTGGTTTTTATGATGACTTTGAGGTTTGTCCATCTTTGAAATTTGTCTCTACTGCTTGTAGATGACAGGAATGACCTATGCTATCTTTGTCTGGCAGTATTGCAGATCTCAGCTCCTTCTTTAAAAAGACTTTAAAGCCAAGGGAAATATTTCCAAGGCCTTTTATTAGAATCTGATGCCATGTTCAAAACTTGTTCTGACATACCTGCCCCAGTCCTGTCTCTGCTGCAACATCCCAGTGAGCAGTTACTGCATTTATGAGGACATTCTGTTTGTAGTTCAGGTTTATATGCAAGTTTAAAAAGGAGAAGACTTTTGTCTTTTAAGGGCCAGTTCTTAAAAACAGATAATGTCTTTTACAATTGTGAAGGCTTCCTGAGTCTGGTTCCTTGGGCTATGTTCTTCACGGATAGAAGAAAATTGTAAAGAGTATGTACTTTTCACAGTAGATGCCAATGTCAGATGCCTTAATTCACAGAGATCATCAGAATTACCCCAACAAGCAACAACAACACAGGGCATACATTTTTGTCCTCAACTACTGGAGGCAGCCTGGCTACACATTTCGACGTTGTCTATTCATAGGTATCCATTTCTGCTACCTACTTCTGAGATCAAGGAAACTTATTATCAGCTAGATTGTATCTGTGTTTTAGTCTAATCCCAAGTGACTGAACCTTTGATTTCCCACATAGTATTTTCAAGAAGGTTTTTAAGTCATTTAGCAGTCTGCAAGAAAAAAAGCTCATGCTTTGTGCTCCTGGAGGGGCCAAATTCTGGAATTTCGTTGGAGGCATTCTTGATTTCTTAAAATATCTTTCACCAAAATCACCTGTTTAATTGCTGTTTCATCACTGTGGCCGATCAGAGAACTACAAGTCTTCCTTGCAGATCTACACTAAATTTACTTCCTTCCTTACTAATTGTACATCCTGCAAATGCAGATCTTTTGCATGTTTTTCATTCAAATGAAAGAGATGCCAGTTGGCCTGTTCTTTAATTTACTGTATAGTGAAGGAAATACTCTTTTGCAGGGTATTCAAACTGAAGTTCATGGAGTCTTTGAGCTAATCTTCTTTGTGTGCTTGTTAATGCTCACAAGGTTCTCAGCTCTAAAAACTAATCAGTCAAAATTAATGTAATCTTCATCTATTCAAAGCCTAACACATTTTCAGTACGGTAAATACACTTAGAAAAATCTTAGCATTTTCAGGTTACCTAGATTTTTAGGGTTGTTACATGTATGAAAATTCACTGTCTTCAATGCTATGCAAAAACAGGCTGGTAAACTGTAGAAAAACAGCCCACTAAATTATAGATTTTTTTCCTCTTCTTTTATAATGTGGGAACTGAAGAATTCATTCCGAGTCATCATCTTTTTCAGCAATGGCATGATCTTTCACTAAAGTAACCATGAAACTGTACACCAGCCTACCTCACTGATTCTAAGATGTAGGGCACAGATCTACAATAGCAGCCTTTTAGAGCGAGAGAGAGAAAAAAAAAAGGACTGTGATAGTCCTAATCACAGTTCATTCACAATTGCTGTCTAGATTATTCAGACCTACTATATGAGTCTATAGGTGGCTTAGATTTCCTACTGTTTGAACCTAATACAAGTGACGAACGCATTTATTTTTAAAAAATCCAACATTACCACATTTTTGCACGTGTATTGACTTTGAGGTTTTTATATTTTATGTGTGTGTTGACTTAGATAAGCTGCCAACAGACAGAGGAAAACTTGTAATGGAGCATATCTTCAAACTGCAAGAGTTCTGTAACAGTATGGTTAAGCTTTGCCTGGATGGCTATGAATATGCTTACTTGAAAGCAATCGTCCTCTTCAGTCCTGGTATGTAATTATTCTTAATGTAAAACTTCATTCTTTTTCTATGACCACAAGGTCTTCAGTGGTCTAAAGTCTATTTAAAACTCTCTCCTGAAAATTTGCTGTGTTTTCCACAAAGCCATATTTTTAGATGAATTTTTCTTAATGTTCTTTTAAGGGGTGAAGGAAAAAGAGAAAGAATTGGAAACAGATTTTTGGAAAATGGGGAAATAACATCAGATAAGTAGGCTGTGTGGGAACTGAGATTAGCTCACTTGTAATACCTTTGTAAAGGTAAAATCATTGTTTTTCAGAATCAGGATCTGGCTATGCTAAGCACTGTACAAAAACAGTATGATGACAGTCATGAATTATTTATCTGTATGCTATTTTTTGCCAAATAATTTCTGCCTGTTTCATTATAGGCAGCTACCTGTAGGATCCCTGCTTCCTTTGTTGAGGAATCTTGGAAGGTGTGTAAAGAACAAGGCAGAGGATTGTAGAAAGAGGAGGGTTAGTCTTTTAATGAAGAGAGCTGAATGCTGCTTTGGAACTTTTAAATTTTACCCTTGTCTCTGCTGTTGATTTTCCCCCTCTTTCCCCCCTCCCCCTTGGTTACCTTTAATTGTATGTATCCTTTCTGGGGTACTGTTTGAGGACCTGGGGTTGAATTTTCAGAAGTGTTGTTCTTGCACATCCAACTGAAGTGAATTGAAGTTGAGTTTTTTCATGTATGAAACAATCTCTCTGAGCCTTGGTTCCCCACATGTAAAATTACAGTAACATATCACCTCATTTCACCTGGGTATTATGAAAATAAATTAGTTTATAAAGCATTTCTGAATATGGTGGTTGAACACCACAAAAATTCCCTTATATTGTTATTTCTATTTTCTGACCAGTACTTACATAATATATTCTAAACAAAGCATATGGACGTACATTAGACAATAAAGGTAAAATAAAGTAATGATTATTTTTTCCATCTGGGAGAGAAGTCCCCAATGTGGAGGAGGAAGGGTCCTCTGGTTAAAACAGTTAAGGATTGATTACTTAGCCTGTATAACACATATGCCTGGGCAGACTGTAGAAAACTGTAAAAATTTATTTTTTTAATTTCTCCATTATATTCCAGGTCTTAGATTCATTATTGAGAGTTTAGAGATTTAAAATAAAAATAGAAAAACACCTCGAGAGGAAAAGGAAGATATATAAACTTCAAATACTTTTGCATCTCCAGGAATTTTTCATTGTCACATTTAGAAAGTAAATCTTCACTCACTTCATTTTACATTAGAAAGTTTTAAGAGCATCAACAGCTTGCTTAATCCTTTTTTAGATACTGATGTCCCATAGAAAAGATCAGAGTGAATTTTAGAAAGCTGTCTTAATCTTAGTGACTACCCCCTGTGTCTAGTGTAGGATATTCAAATATCCTAATTTGGTATTCTAATTTGCAGATTTTTTCAATGACAGTGAAGACTATGCTATTGTATTTAAAGTTAATCAATATGGGTCATGAAAATTGGAAAATCACAATTTCTTCTAAAACAGTAGGGCTTGTAGAGGCTCGTTCTTTTAGCCAAGAAAATTTCTCTAGGTGGACAGGGAAAGGATGCAAAGTATGACTTGATTTCAGAGGCACTCCGTGTACTCTGTGGTTAAGTCAAGCAGATCATAGTGTGACATCAAAATGATGGAGATCACTCCATTAAAATACCAAATAAAAGTTCTTCAAAGAGAAGAAATATTTCTTAAAGTACTAATTTTTCACAAACTCTGTCCCATGAGAGGAAGGGCTCTGGCAGGAGAGTTCAGCATAAATCTGGTGACCCCAGATATGGAGGAGAAATGGGTATTTGGTTCTTGTCAGATTTATTAGATTTCAGAAGAACTCTTTTTTTCCAGTCAGTTGCAGCTCATCCTTTCAGAGAGATAATAGCTAAGGCAAGAAAAACTTCTGGAACTGGGATGCTTTCAAAATGTAAATTTCAAGCAGGTTTTCTTACATACAGGTACACACAAACATGCACACAGACGTATATGTAGGGGTGTGTGTGTATGCATATATACACTATATATGTGTATAAGAATTGTGGGGTTCTTGCTTTGCAGTTTCCCTCATATTTACATTATTCTTTTCATATATGGTAATTTCTCTCTCTCCAAAGAGTATCCCCATCTCCCAGTGAAAGTGGCAGCATCAGCAGAAATCCATGGAATTCATCTAAGCGCATAGCAAAATTTTACCTATCTTCCATTTCCTCTTTTAATATTGCATTAATGGAAGACTTTTAAGGTGAAAGAAATTCTTACGAATAAGCAGTGTAAGTAATGCCAGAACCCTAGAGTAAAGACAAGAAATTCCCAAAAGGTATTCCAGAGAGACTTCCTTTTTATTCTGGACCTCTAAAGGAAAATGAGATCCTGAGTGTTTTTGCTATTGAACATAATCCCTGGGCTCAGTCCTTATGACTGGGAGAATCTTGCATGTTTTTATGTGCTTGCTTTTGCAGTCTGCCAAAGCACAGGAACTATTTCAGTCTTCTGATAAGCAGTAGCCATGATGGGTCTAACTGCAATATTAATTGCATATAATAAAACTAATTGCAATATTAATCCTTATCCTTATCCGCTAAGGACTTTACATTTATCTGGACTTTCACTATTACTTCAGAAGAGCTAGGGGCTTTCTTTAAGGGGGGAGAGGATGTGAATGTTTGCTTGTTTAATTGTAGCTGATCATGTTTTCAGTAGACTGACTTCTACTTTAGATGTTCCTTACCTCAAAACAGTCCTTTCATGCCATTCTTGGAGCTCTGAAGGCTACTCCAGAAAAGAAAGGAAATGATGGAAGAATACCTCAAACCCATTCTTCTAGCACCATGTCTATTAGGTTTTATGGCAGAATCTGTTGTCATGTTTGAAGAAGCCAGTCCTGTGAGAAACCAGAAGATATTTTCCCAGAAAGTTAACACTTGCAAAGCAATATTTACCTATTTGCTTAATCTGAAATTAATTTGTCTCCTTCCAGTTACATTTGACAGTACAAAAGGTAGGAGGAAAAAAATCTCAGGAAGAGACTATCAGGTCACGTCACTGAGCTGAATTTTCTTTAGTTCAGGTGCTTTCAGATTACATACCTAATGATGTGTAGCTGCTTTAATGGCAACGTACTGTCTCCTAGCCAATATTCTTGATCCTGTATTAAAAATCTTCTTATCTATGAAAGTCATGAAATGTATACCAGAACCTTGAACAGAAGGGACGTTCTGGCAGTGATTCACAGGCCAAATACTACAATTTCAGGGATTTTAATGCTCCCCTACAGGATGGGGCTGGGCTGCACTTGCAGCAGAGTCCTAAGGCAAGGCTTTAGCGGTCCCTGCTGATTTGTCGTCTCCTGAAGCTGGAGACTGGAAGATTACTGAAAAACTGCTGTGCCAAGCCAGCTGTGTGATAATCACAAGATGGCCTTAGGCAAAGCGATGAGCGCAAAGGAGTACCTAGAAGGCTTTGCATCATCATAAGTGGCTACTAGCAAACCACTAGCGTTCTTCAAACTACTGTTGTGGGAAGTTGACTTCTAGCCATGTTTCTGGCGTAGTTCCAAAAGCAATGCCACGAAGCAACATACATTGCATGCCAACAGTAACTCTTCTGTTATATGTTGCTTCTTTGCATATGTTGCTTCTTTGCAACCCTGCTAACCTCTTGTCCTCTGCATTAATTTGAAATCATACTTTCTATCAGGTTTATGGAGATAAGGAATGCCTGAATTACTAGACAGGACAAGATAGTCATGTGTGAAATGGTGATTTCAGGGGAATCGAATGTATCACGTAACTGCTATACTGCTCAGAAAGCTTCCATAGCTGTAGAGCTAAACCAAAAACTCCTGGTTTTGCTGAAGGCCGGCCACATGTTTAGAGAGGAGGATTGATTGTTAGTAGTAATCATCTATGATCCCATCTCAGAAATACAATTTGTGATTTGTCATGATATTATGACAATAATATACTTGCATTAAACCATTTAGACAATAAATTATAAACCATATAAAATGTTCAGAAGTACCAGAGAATAATTTCCAAATGTGACTTGGCACTTGGATTAATACCCTTTCTTTTTAGCAAGATTTAGATTTCAAGTTATTAAATCACCGCTTAAAATTATATTTAGTAGCTTGGAAAATTTTGCACCGGACAGCTGAAAAAGAATGATTTGCTACATATCTTCTGGAGTTGTTAGGCAATAAATGGCTCATAGCCTTTTATTTTGCTTTTTCAACTAATCCTAATTTTATTCTTCACCTCTGATCCAAATGTTATTTGTGCATACAACATGCCAATAAATATGAATGCACTGGAACTATGCTGTTTTACTGCAACACAGAGAACACAGCTGTATGATCAAGACTGATGTAAATATTGCAAGCGCTGCATGCATTTGAACTCATTAGAGTGTCTGATTGTATAATGTCAAAAAGGAGGTAAAGAGGTGTCCTATTAAAACTGTTGGAAGCAGCTACTAAATAATCATTTGAGCATGCTTACAATTAGATAATCTGTTTGGATTTTAGCACATTTTATATAGAACAAGTTTAACAACGTAGAGTGTCTTTCAGATCACCCAGGTCTTGAAAACGTAGTACAGATTGAGAAATTTCAAGAAAAGGCCTACATGGAGTTCCAAGACTACGTAACAAAAGCATATCCGGATGATACTTACAGGTGTGTAAACTTACATGGTTACCTTATTTGATTCTCTTTTCAGAGCATCTGTGACCTTGATTTGTGCAATATTTCTTGTAATAAATATGTAAATTGGGTTAAGAAATTACATTTAGTGAACTTAAATATTATGTATGTACTCATTCATTGTTACTTTCCAAAATGAAGGCCTGAGTGTATTTTACATTAAAAAAGGAAATATTTTAAATGTTTTCACTGCGAATTGCATCCTCTTGGGATATTTGATCATTTGTCTAATTCCAAACATATTATAAAATCCATGTACATTGAATTGCACATTCACATTTTTGTTTGCACTGTCAAAGATATGACTGGCATCGATTATATAATCTATTGGCTTACTTATCTATGCCTTTCATGAACTGTGTATATTGAATTTTGACTAGTGTTGTCCCTTGTTAATTTTTTCTGTTCTCTTACTGATAACGTAACTGTGAATCGCATCAAAATATGTGATTGCATAACACTTTTTACCAAATTTTTTTTTCAGACTGTCTAGACTTCTTCTCCGATTGCCAGCTCTTAGACTGATGAGTGCTGCTATTACCGAAGAGCTGTTCTTTGCAGGACTAATTGGAAATGTTCAGATTGATAGCATCATCCCATATATTCTGCGAATGGAGACAGCAGACTACAACTCTCAAATAATTGGTCATGCTGTATAAAAGTAGAAATCAAGGATTCTGTACCATGGCAGTCATGGTGATGTAAATGCATACCCTGTCTCCAAGAGATGGCAATAAGCCTTCCAAGCACCTTTCACAAGAAGGCTAAAATTCCTCCTTTCCAGTACACTTGGGAAATGCAGTGGAGTGTCTTAAAGAATATAGGATCACTTCCTATTTTTCAGCTGATCTTCAAGGACTTGTAAATTAACTTGGTATCTGAAGAAAATCAAGAATTGTCCATCCTATTTTTGTAGATAGGTGAACTTGGAATATTTGTTTATGAAGTCCAGGCTTGTGAAGAAACTGAAGAAGCTTTGACTGAACTAAGGTATCACAACTTAGTTTGATGTTTTAGATAAATAAATTAACTTTCCTCTCTGAGTTGTGTTTTCAGTGTTTTGCTGCTAGTTCTTTCTCACTGATTGAATGGAACATACATGACCAGATGTCCGGAACAGGCCAGTGTTTCTGTGGAAACAAGACCGTTATAATCAAGCTCAGTTGTTCTGTTGTTTTTTTGAAGAGAGATTCCTTTTTTTTTTTTTTTTTTGGCTGAACGAAACAGTGAATACCATTTCAAGTGCAGAGAAACTGGAGAGAAAGGTCACATTTTTAAAACGTTCTCTTTCAAAAGTGAAACTGCAAAGGGTCAGTACTACTTGTTTTGTGGATGCAAAGGAATACTGTGTTGTAGTGTTATGTGTTGGTAGACCTATGGAAAACTAACAGAGTAGTGTGTGCTGCAAGTATTTCAAAGAGAGCAGCCTCCTATTTTTTGGGGGTCTCAGAAGTTAAAGCTTGTTCGCGCTAAACCCTCCCTCCTTCATACTCGGTGTGCAGAGACAGAGACGTTCCAGGTGCCTCTAACTGTCTTCTAACCACCTCTGTAAGAAACAAAGCCTGGCGTTTTGGAGTTCTGTGTGTCTGTTCACATCTTTATGCTTGCAACAGGATTCGGGGAATGGTTCATTATTGTTAGCCTTGGGCTATGTAGTTTTCTTTTCCAACCAGTCTCGTATGATTTTTTTTTTTTTATTTGAATTTGTGGAATCCCCTCTCCCTCCTTATCTTCATGGTCTCCCCTGCTTTTCCTTTCCTTATCAGGAATGGGTCTAAACAGTTGGTGTACCTTGCCTGAATCGTACTCCACAGCTCTATCTAAGGGTAGGTTCAAACTTTTTTCTGTCTTGTGATGCACCTCACTGCCAAGTAACACTGATGCGGGCTCACAGTTCTTTGGACCACTATCACTACTAACTGCTGGGTCAAGAGAAGAGTAGTCTCTTCTCTTTCTTAGGCTATGTTAACTCGAGCACAAGAAGCTTGGTCTTACGTTTCACATCAGACTGTTTCCATTTAGGTGTTTGAACCATGTTCCTGCTGCTTTGATGCCTGTCATCTCTGTAGGACAGCAGGAGATCTAAACCTCAATGGCTGACTTTTTCCACTCCCACACCTTTCACTGTTCTTTTTCCCGGAGAATCCTTTGGGCTTCCTCTGGGGTTTTTGCCAGATCACCCAAATCAGGAAATTAACCCATCCATTTTTTTCTTTCCAAATCCTTGATTTCCAGGCCTGAGACTTCCCTTCAAAGGTTGGGTCGTGAGAGAATATAGAAAATATTGTCTTCTTATTTGCATAGGACAGAGACTTTCAGACATCCTTTGATCTAGTTATCTTGACAGGTGAGAAATCAAACAGGAAATCGCCAAAATAGATAACAGATTGTATCATCTCTGTTTTGAAAACAATACAATTAAGTTACCATCAGTAATCAGAATATATCCTTAATAGTTCTCTGACTACATTTGGGACTTGGTTCAGTAATAGCTATTTTTTTCTTATCTTTGCAAACTGGACAGTTGGAGCTTCATTCATCTAGTGAGCTTGATTTGACAAGTTCAAGAAATCTTCAACCAAAGAACAAAACAGTCTCCCCTAGCCACTTTTTCTGACGATATGCGCCTAGGGAGCGCCTAGTTATCTCAGAGATTCCAGTTACTTGTGCGTTGTCCATATGTGTGTTAACTGCATACCCATCTCCCTTGATTTGTTGGGATGTTATACCCTCTACACTTGTTGTCAAGTGCAAGAAAAGAGAAAGATGTGGGTATATTCCTGCAGTGTTCTGAGGGCCAAAAAAACCCATTTCTGATCTTGAATACCTCTGATGTTTGGACATCTGTAGAGCCAATGTGCTTTTAAGCAACACGTTTCAAAGAGCTCCGGCTACGGGTAAGTAACCTTTTTTTCCAAAATTTTCTTAAAATTTCCATAATAATAAACTTTCATTATTCAGTTCAGTGCTGGTTTAAGGTGGGATGCGGGCTGCCCTATGCTGCCTGGCAAGTAATCTGTCATGTCTTCATGATGATCCCATAGTGCAGGTTGTTGCTTCTACGTTATTCGCTTTGCTCATCAAGGTTTTCTATTAATCATTTTGAGTTCTTAAACTATAAATTTCATGCTTTTGAAAAGGAACGAGGCATAAGGTGGGTTTTCTCAGGAATGGGAGCGTAAATTAATACAGGGATGAATATGCATGTTTCCGTTTCTGGCTTTTTAAAGGTAACTGCTGCTCAATTAAATGACCATATTAAATTACCTTCAGCTCAGGCGCTTAGTGTTTCTAACAGCCATTTGTTCTAATGACATGCTCTCACACTACCACCTCTGTGATTTACTGTCATTTTTTTCTTATGAATAAATATTCTTTGCTACTGAATGAACGTCTGGCTAATATTACTCTTTTTTCATGCTGTTCAGTGACGTTAATGATCTGTTAACAGAAATGTAAATATTGACACTCACTCCACCACGGACGTTAAACCATTTCAATATTTTTGTGACTTTTCCCTTTCACCCTTAATTTATTTTTCAGCTTTTTGATCTTCAACACTCTTGCAGTTTTCACACCCAATCAGGACTTAACCAAATTGATGCATTTAGTAGCTGATAAATAGTAGTCTCCTTACCAATGAAAGGACAAGTTTATTTTCAACAGCTTTAAATTTTTCAATCTTAAGAGGAATAAAAGTGATTTTTAGTATAAACTGCATGAATGGAAAAATGAGTAATTTTATACCTTTTAGAATCTTATCATTAAAGATGGGAGCAATGTTATACATAATGAACTGACTAGTTCAAAACATTTTTCTTAAAACTGTGTGTTGTAAATTTATAATACATGTGACCAGGTTGCTTGCTTCATACTGGTAAAGTTCCTTGGAAAAAACAGTTGTATTTGAAAGTTTTTCGAAAGTACTTTCATTGCAATACCATCAGCAGTCACAAACTTACCCTGCCAATACATTTCTTCTGTCTGTGCTCTTCAGCGTCAGTGAAAGTCAGTCAGTCATTGGTCTGCTCATTTTGTTTGGCTTCTAGTTTGCTTAGTAGATCACTTTTAATGTAAGCAATGGAATATCACTGTAATTGTCTTGCTGTTGTATAAAAGTCGCTGTAAATGTCTTGAAACCTGACTAAAATTGTAAATTCTATTTTGGCTGTATTTTTTAAAATAAATTGTAACTTTCTATTACAGAAAACAATTGTAATAACCTATTAGTTTGGTAGTGTTTTATATGAAATGACATATAGACCGAAAACAGTGTATATGATTACAAAGAGCGTGTGGATATTTCACACTTCTATTACACACTGTAGTATTGTCGATTATATTGAGACTCTGGGATTTGTGATAGTTGCAGTGTTTTGCTGTCTTGTACCCTTTGTTGCTATTAACCTTTTGGTTTTGTGCATACTACTTTCTGGCCTATGAATTTGCATATTTGAAAGTTTAATAGTTTATTACCAGCATTTTTGGCTTTTAAAACACTATGTAGAAATGTACTACACTGAACTCTGGTCACAGACCTTCATATAATATAATGCAACAATCTGTCATTATTCAATTCATTATGGATCAGTTTTAAGTTGGAAGTGAGTGTATGGTTGGACACTTTTTCTTTAGAAAAAAATACAGGCTTCATCTGTTTAGGTGTAATTATAATCATGTCTGTTTTAAACTTTACTAGATAAATAATGAATTTATCCATGATTATTACTGTGAGGCTTACCACAAGATTCAGTCCATTCCAGAATTTGACACTCTCAATGATGATTTTTAAAGCGTGCTTTTTTTTTTTTTTAGTGTTTGTCTTCTAATTATAAATGAATGTGATGTTTGCATGAATGTGCAGGTGACCTAAAACAGAATCCAAAATGAGAAGTGAGCCACCATTCTTTCCACGTTTCAAATCTGAAATAGATTTATCATGAAGTAAGTAAATGGCAAGTGGGAAGCAACCCACTGATGCACTGCAGATAAAAGATGCAGTGGCAAAAGATAAAATTTGGGTAGCAAATGCAATGAGTTGACTAATTATGAGAGCTGGAAATAAACAATTAGACTCCCTTCTCCACCAGAATTAACTCCAGGCTCTCTCTTGGCTCTTTTTTGAAAACTCATCTTTCTCAGTACTTATGCAGAGCCCTGGTACCCCAGTCAGGCTGCTAATCAAGTACTCTCTCTTTCTCATAGCGTTTTCTTTTTCACAGCCTTCTGTTCACCTCTGAAGGGAAGAGCTCTCTAGAAAAAGTGCTCTTCTGGTGAATAGTAAAAAGTTGTCCGTAAACTGTTATTTCCCCGCAGCATCTCCTTTTTTCTTTCTACTCAAGAAACATTCCTAACACCCAGTTCTCTGTTTCTTTCTCAGACCTCCCTGTCAAATAACCCCAAAGAACATTTGTACTTCATCATATGTCATCCTTCAGTTTTCCTCAGATGCATACAAAGTCGTGTGTGAATACATGCCTCTGAACAGCCCTGTTTAGCCACCTCAGTCTTCCTGTACCCTCTGAGCTCTCAAGCATAAAGTCCAACGCTTGCTCTGATTCATACACTAATACATAATACAATTTTCTACTACATTAATATGAAGCAAAGGTTCTGCACTTTAGCTTGAGTGTGGGGAGTGTGGGAACTGAGTGTGTCCTCTGAGTCCTGGTGTTGGAACTGAAAGTCATTTGGACCACCAGACTCTTGACTGCATTTGAGTACCAGAATGTCTCAACATTTCAAGGTTTTTGCAGTTGTTACTGACTGAGCCAACGGATTTTCTGGTTATTGTTTTAGTAATTGGATCTTGTAGTTAGGCTTGCTCAAATATATTTTCAAGTTAACTGGGCTTGGATTAGGGGAAGCTGGGTGGTGGTGTTAATGAGGGGAGTGGAATATCTTGTGGCTTTTGTGCTGTGGTGGGGAAAAAGGGGAGAGAACAGAAGTGATGTTCTGGGGACCTTTTTAACTAACCTTCTGTGGTGGAGTTGCCTGTGATTGCAGAGAAACTGGATTGACCTGCTCCCCAATGGGTTCTTCTGAATTAATATAGCACATTCATCTGTTTAGGTACATATACATACCTAGGTACACATACACGCAGCAGAACTATTCAGTGGACATCCAGAGAAACAAAGTGCCATGCCTTGAAGCGCCTGTCTGTATTAGCTTCCTAAAGAAGCAAGTTGATTGGCAAGGGACTTGTAAGCAGCTGACTCTGCGGTTTTGGTCCTGCAGATTGCTAGTGCTCTGCAAACCTGGAGTCTAATGTCTGAAGAGTTGCTAAGCAGCTGTTCGTTGCTGACATGGAGGATGCTCTGGTCCTAGTGATGTGTCTAAGCTCCTCAGGAGCTTATTCAGGAGCGTACTGAATAGCTGCACATTTTAGTTAACAGAGGAGACAGGTAAGCAATGACTATAAAATGAGGGTCTTTTCACACTGTACCCAGTGGAATTCTACCCCTGGGAAGTGAAAGATGAACGCAGAGTTACTGCTTGGGGTATAACCTGAATAATTCTCAAGTAGTGACATGCATTTTCTAAAAATGGCAGTAACGTTATCATTTGAGGCTTTTGGGTGTTTTACTATTGTCACTGAGGTATATACATGTTTGAATGTGTTCTGAAAGTTATAAAATACATATATTTATAAGTTCTGTAGTCACATTACACTTTAATTTCAGTTTATGAATTAACCTTTTAATCTTTCAGAATGGTCGAAACCAAGTGACAAAAACTTTTTCGATTGCTTCTGGGAAATAATGTGAATTATAGGACTGGCTAAAAATCTACTGGTGAAAACATTAGAGAGTGTTTTGACTTAGAGTAAGAGCAATTATGGTTAGAGATTGGACTGGACGTATGGGATACTGAATCGTGGAGAATTGTGTATTGGATTTTGCCTCTGGAACTTTCACATTTCAGGAGGAGGCAGGAAGTTAATGTGTTGAAGTTGTTTGTTTAATTCTGTGGTTATGAATCATCGCAGCATAAACTTCTGTGACTTTGCTAAGAATAGAGGGATATAGCAGTGGAACAGACAAACATAGTAAATACACTTATTCTACGGTAAAATGTAAACATTGAATTACTCTGTAGCTTGACTGATATTTTGCACTTTCTGAGAATATATGAATTCAGGTTTTTTCAAGGTCAACTGTACCACTATGAATAAAGTTCTTTAAATAAAAACTAAAACTTGTAGGATTCAGTGAGACTGTTCTGCGCTATCAGTCATCAAGAGAAGTTGCATGCTGTAAGTTGAGATATTCAGGAAGTGGATATATCTTTGGAAAATATGTTCCTACTTATTGTGCTCTGGGTTCTGTATTAGAAACAAAGCAACTAACTGATGTGTTCAGATTTGGGGCAGGCGGTGAGGGGGTTAGAGCCAAAAGGGATCTCTGTGATAGCTTAGTCCAACCTCATGCTGATCGCAGGCTATTCAAATTCCTTATCAATGCTTGTTTTACAAGAAAATCATCCAGTTTTAATTTTTACATTTCCAGTGACATGGAGTTCATCACCCTTGGAATCTTGTTCAAATGGTTAATAGGCCTGTTAAAATTTGCATCTTCTACTTGGAATTTATCTTGCTTTGGGTTTCATCTACTGTACTCTTAGTAAATTGAAAGCTCTTATTAAAATGTTTGTTCTCTGTATAGGAACTGAAAGAGGGTGCTCAAGTCATCTCTCAGCCTTCTCTTCAATAAAATAATAGATTGAACTTCTTCGTCTTTCACTATATTCACCAAGTGATTGAAGCATTTTTGTCACTCTTCTCTAATTGTTCCTATTTCAGGTAGGGTCTTGACAAATTAGAAAGCATCGTAATAGTCTAAGCTGGACAAGTGCCAAATATGTAAGAAATATGACTTCACTATTCATTCCTACCCTGCAGACCTCCATGCATCTAGTGACTGATTCCCTTGTGGTCCTAGCATCACTCTGTTCATTGTTTAACTGATCATTCACTGTCATCCGAGTCCTTCTCCAATAAGGGTTTTCCAGGAGACAGTCTACTGTTTTGTAAATATGATTTCCATTCTTTAGTCCTAGATGTATATTCTTACAATTTGACTGGACTGTTTGTCAAAACTCAGCAAGGAATCCAGGTCGTTCTGTGAAAGTGATGCGCCCTCTGCAGTATATTCACTGCTCAGTCATTGGGTGATATATAAGCTATCAAGATCTTTTTTCCTTTATCATTGATAAAATTATTGAATAGTATACAGACAAGAACTGACACGTAAAGAGGCTTTATAGATTGCTGAAACAGCTGCCACGGTTTCAGGTTAAATGTTGTTCTTTTATCGTTGCGCTACAGAGGTCTAGAAGGGTGTGAAATACCAAGACTTTAAAAACTGTCCTTTGCCATTGTTTCTTTCTAAGAA